GATCTGCTTTAGTTCATTTTCACAGAAAAGCATAATGCCTCACAGAAAAGCAAACTTAGGGCGTCGTACTCGTAGCGCCATCTGTTGGACATAAAAGCCTTAACCTAGATTATATATTTTAATTTATATGAATGTTTAATGGAATAATATACAGCCTATGTCCACCCTGAGGTTCCATTCTAAATATTGGTGAAAGAATTTTTGAAATCGGATGAGTAGTTTCGGAGATTACCTGCTGCAAAAAAACTTACATACATACATACATACATACATACATACATACATACATACATACATACATACATTACCTCTTTATAATATTAGTATAGATTATGTTAAAATATTTTATAATAATAATTTTAAATTCATGTAACATACATTTAACATACAATAAAATTATGTGGAAACAATTTTTATCACATCAATTGTCTAATACTTGGCAATGGCTGTTTCTGCAATTAAGGTATGATTAAGAGAGGAATTTTGCTTCAAGCATTATGAAAATAATAAATTAATATAATATTCAAATAACTCTAAATTAAAACTTAAGATTCAAATTTTGATATTTATCACATTTAAAATACTTCTAAGTCTGATATTTGATTTAATCAAAATTATTAAACCTTTCAGTATAGCTATAAAATCTATTTGTTTTTAAACTAACATTTTATAAACAAACTTCCTTTTAAAATTATATTAAAAGTTCAGTTATACATTTATCAGTTATAGATGCTTTTAAACTTAATATATTTTTTTACTTAACATAATTTTATTTATTTATTTTTTTAGAACAAGTCAAGTTTATTATTTTATAGAATAACTAATATTAGAAAAAATATGCAGTCAATAATCAATAAATATTATTTAACTTTATAATAAAACTTTTTATATTTAACACCAGAATTTGATTTTTTACTCCATATACAAGTTTATGAGTCTTTCTGAGCAATAAATATGACTTTATGTAGCTAACTTTATTAATTTTGTGAAGTTTTTTTTTTATGAGATTTGAATAAAAACAGTTTTTCCAATTAATCTGAGGGTAGAGATGCATTTTGAAACAGAGCCAAACTTAGTTTACTTCACAGAATCCTCACTGAATCAGACAGATGAAGGTATAGTCTATATTACTGAAATTTTCTTTAATGAATAGTCTATGACAGGGGTGGCAAACCTGTGGCACGTAAAGAGAAATCATCTGGCACAACATATTGTACGATTTTGATTTACCATTTGTCTTTTTCAATCATTGTTTCATTATTCTAATTAAAGCATTTTCGTTTAATTTATTTAAATATCGTTATTCGAAGTTTAAAACTTTGGCATGCATAAACATCTTTAAGGCTAAATATGCTTACAGTATGGCACGCAGGCTCAAAAAGGTTCACCACCCCTGGTCTATGAGAACAAGTGAGTGAAATGAGGTGGGAGTTGGACCGCTATAGGTGGCCAGGTGGCAAAGCTACCTGGTATTATATAATTTTACTTACCTACAAAATCCACTTTGATCACATGTTTTGAAGTTACTACGATCAACAGAAGTTACCAAGGATAGAAAAGTAATAATCAAAATAAGAAATGGCACAGTGGTGCTGTAAAAGAAAAAAAATTATAATGTAGAAAATTATATGATATTTTCTTAATTTCTAAAACATGAAATTATGCTATTAAAAAGTTAGTTTTAATTCTGATTAATTACATTATTTAACTAGGAAATTAATATAACATTAAAACATAAATACATATTTTACTTTACATTCTTTATTTAGTTTACACTAAATAAATAATTACAGCTAAGTTCAGTTTTTGAGAATTTAGAGTATTCCAGTATAATTAAAATGATCACTGTCGTGGGAATATGGAAACACTTTAGTTAAGGGAAACTCAGGGGTTGAATTGCCTGAAATTTTAATTTGTCATCACTGATAATCTGTCAAACACTGCTTTCTCTGTCTGATTTGTTTTTATTCTTGCTTTGCCCAAATTTAGAAAGGCAAGTGTCTTCTAAATTTAGGTAGTTGCCCTCTGCTTACAAGTCCCCTGACTTGTAAGCTCATGATCACAGTTACTTAAAAACATTTTACTTTAAAATATATTGAAGATAATACAGATTCAAAAATTCTAGAATCTCATGAATATCTGAAACATTCATCTCTTTTTCAAAATAACTAAATAAAACTTTGCAGAGATATAATTTATTACTTACTAGCTGTGGCTCAAAATGTATCTATTATAAATGTATAATACTCTCCGCAGGAGGGAATTTTGAAAAATCCCTTCTTAGTGTACATTCTCTTGACGTACTCTATTACAACGCAGAAAACCGCATCTAAAATAGAATAATAGAAGCAGAGTTCTTCACGGTAAGCCTTAATTTTGTCCCTCTCCCCCATGAAGGGATTTCAACATTTATATAATATTAATATAAAAACATGCACGTATTTGAATGCAACGTTGTGTCAAAATTTCACAAGTTCAAAATTTCGGTTAAGAACTTTCGGAGATTTAAGATTTTGAACAAACAAACATTTACATTTTTATTTATATAGATAGAAGATTGATATTATTACAACAGAAAACACATTTTATATAAATATAGCCATACATAAAAATATCTATTATATAATGTGCTTATAATATGCCATATCTGTCAATAATTAATGCTTATTATATATTATTCTTAGTATCCGCAACCACAAAATAAGAATAGGTTAATTTAACTAAATTAAATATTAACTAACTTTAATTTGTCAAAAGTTAAATTTATTTAATAAAAAAAACATATCAAGGTTGATTCTTGCAGGTGATGATAATACTGAATTTATCAATTTTTTTAAAGTTTATTACTCAAATTTTTATAAATTAAATATAAGTATATGGAGATAAATATGGAGTAGTTATTACATCTTTTAAATATTACAAAATCTTGTGAAAATAAATAAGTTTATATTTTAAAAAGTTAAATATTTTGTAATCTGAATGTGTACAATTACCATCTTGCTCAATTTCAAAAACATAAATTAACTTTTTAGGGCATTAATTATATATTACTACGTGAAATGAAATTTAATCCATATTCAAGAATTTATAACCACTCAATTATAATAAATATTTACACACAAAAATGTAAATGCTTTAATATCTTAGGAGAAAATTACCACAAAACACCTACTGAGATTATCTTTTACATACTCATTCAACAAACTTTTGACTTATTCAATACTTAATTTTGACTTCTCTTTTGACCACAAGAAATTTACGAGTGAAAATATTCTTTCTACAGACGTTATGGTTCCTGATAAACAAAGGACTAATTTTATCATATTAAAACCTTGGAATACAAAATATTTTTCATGCATTTCATTAAATATTTTAATTTATTTGTCAATTGATTTTTTCTTCTCTCAATTTCATCAAGTATTTAGTCATTATTGTGTTTATTAGCACCCATCGACCAAATTCTTGAATTTCATCTGTTTCTGTTTGAATAATATGTCTCTTAACTTCATTGAAATTATTCTGTAAGCTATATTTCATGCCATTTCTTCCTCAGTAGTGTTCATTCAAATTTATGACCCTTAAATGTGCAGAATAAACATTTCTAACAAGTCACAAGTTCAGGATATAATATACAAACTAGAGAGCTAAGAGTTTTGATTTTCAAAAAATGGAACAAAATGAAAAGATGGCTGGGACAGAACAAAAAATGATACATATGGTCAACTTACTATAAAAGAAAATAAAACAATGAATATACAGTAGAGCCTCGATTATCCGACCCCCAATTACCTGACACCTCGGTTAACCGACCATCCTAGTCGGCAAATTTCAAATGTCCGCTAGCGATGTGGCGCTACAATATTTGGCCATGTCTTGGCTACTTTATTATTATTTTTACGTGTTTTAGCTGGCAACACTCATTCGACCATGAAAGGGAGCCAGTATTTAAACGAGGCTTAATTTTCTAATTTTTAACGATATAATAGTGACGATTATTATTTTAAAAAATTTTTGTTAGGCTTAACATCGATGAAAATTCAACGCGAAGTAGGTTAATAGCGATATACTAATATACAAATTACATGGGATATAATAACATACAACACTAATAATGGATTTTTCCATACTTTTCGGTTATCCGACTTTTCAATTATCCGACCAACCCCAGTCCCCAATTGGGTCGAATAATCGAGGCTCTACTGTAAGCTTAATTATGATTTAATGAGATGTTATCTATATGGCAATGATGATGATGATAATTCTTTCTTTTGTACAAAATCTATCAAAATATCAACTGAAAAGTATAAATAAACTATCATGTTCATAGATCAGCTGCAGATATTTCAGCAAAATTCTGTGTCAAATTATAAAGTAAAATCATTAAAAGCAGTTGGCAGAAAATATTTGAATTTTAAAACTGATTATTATTCCTTTCAATTTTGATCTAATCCTTTGAACTACCTTTTGGATCTGTCTTATAGAATAAGTTAAACTTGTTCCATAAGATACATTCTTCCTTTTAGAAGAGCATTTGTTAACGCAATGTTTGATGTATATGCTGCAACAGATCATTAGCCTGCAGATATATTTTAAAAAATTAACGCTGAATATTTCATTTTCATTTTATAGCTCAATGCATTCCATAGTTAAGTATTATTAATAATTTTAATTATAACAACTGTCAATGCTCACATAACATACATTTTTTTGTTCAAAACTATACATCTACTCAACAGCAAAGATTTCAGTATCTAAAAACGTAACAAACAGAAAAGTTGCATATTTTCTGATATTATTTCAATAGAATTCTTAATGAAAGAAAATATCTAAACATGTCAATTCCAAACAAATCAAAATGAAATTGTATTAAATTTGCTAGCTTTTTGCTTAATACCACATAAACATCCGTAAAACTGACAAGATAAACCCTATCTAATTTGTCAAATTTTGCAAATTTATATTTTCAAGTATAATGGAGCTCAAACTAAAACTTTCTATTTCTAAAGTCTAAAATGTAGTACTACTACTCGTCCAACTGAAATGTTATAAAATAGATCAATACCTGTAAACTTCCAGCAATAAATAACTTCAACAGCATATTAACATTGTATTCAATCAATTTAACTGACCATCAACAAGTGAACCAAACCATACATTAAAACAATGTATATGGAATGTGTAAAGAAAAGTGCATATTCACAAAAAAAAAAAAAAAAAAAACTAAGTTCTCTAAGATCAAAGAGAATAATACAAAGTTTTAAAGTTTAAGAACACAAAAATTAGTCACAAAAAATATAAACTATTCTCTACCAAAAACCAAATCAAAACCTAATTAGCATTAATGAGCGTAGACACACTGTGTTCCCCTTCTCCTACACCATCTTATACAATGACAAAATATGACTTCTAAAAGCTGAACATGTTTCAATACTTAATTGTAACAACTAGAGCACTTTTTCAGCAAATAGTTATCTGAGGCAGACTTGTAAATTATGTTCAAAATGTTTGACAGATCATTAATTCTTTGCTGGAAAAGTGCTATGAGTTAAGTATTCATACAATGAACTCCATATATTGGAAATATTCCCAGTATCATGAAAATCAACACACTTGTCTATTCACACAACAATCAAAGTTTTTTAAACTCCAGTGAGCAATTAAATCTACATAATCAAATGCATTACTACAACTACATTCATACTTAAACTGAATATGTTCTTAAACAGTTTCAAGTAATATTGATTATTTCCAAGGAAAATCTTGTAACAAAAAAATTGACTCAATTTAAAGAAACAAAAATGAAGTTTTTTTTTTTTTAAATTAAACATGTCAAATAGCTTCTGAAGAATTATTTTTTTCAGTTAGATATTAGATGAGATCTAACCAGGTGTTTTGTATAATTGATTCTAAAATCTATTATTAAAAAAAACCATTTTCTACATATTTAAGACCAAGCTTGTGTTGTCAACAACAACAACAGATTCTAACCAATAATAACAATTAGTCTATTGTATTTATTCAATGTCAAAATATTCATATTGCCCACTATATTTTCCTGTAAGAGAAGGTATAATTTACATATTATGTATTCTTGTTTTGTATATTTCCTTACTCTACACAATGCTTGTTTGCAATATGAATTTGAAACAGAAATATTAATTCTTTAGCATTAAATAATAAGAAACAATTATTATAAGTAGAAAATTTAAATCCCTTGTATTTACTAAACAAATTCAGTAAATGCAAAATATATTTCCAGCTGCTCTTATTATTTTCTGCATCTCTATAGCTTTTTCTAAACAAATCATAAATCCGTTACCTTTCTTCAATGCCCATTATCAAGCTTTCGTCTATCTTGTACAATATTACAGGCAACTGTGGAAAGTTTGTGCTAACTGGTCAATATGTTACAACAACAATGAAATGTTGAATCTTGGCCAGCATTCAAGTGACAAGTGACAAGCAACTAAGACAAAAATGCAAAGATAACAATTTGTACAAATGCTTTACAAAGACAATAAAAGCAGAGATTTGCCATTGTTGCTAGCAGTGTGAATACAGCCTAAATGGTGCTAATTTTTCTCTAGTAAAA